TAATATACAATTTATATATATATATTATATATACAAATAAATGTATTATAAATGGATATATTTATAGGCATAAGTGTATACATTTATACACTACAAATCTATACATTTAAAGGTTATAAATGTATACCCTATAAATTTATAAAGGATAGTAGTTATGCATTTCTGGGTTCAACAATTGCTCCAAAGTAAGTTGGGAGAACTTTTATTATATTGGATAACTTTATGGCAAAACCATTTGATTGCTTGCCTAGATACTTTGTGAGCTTATTTATCTATTGACCCCAAGAACATGAAGGATATTAATTGTTTCATCTAAATCTTCAAGATCCCACTCAATACTCCTTAAGTTGTTCCTTAGCTCATTAGTGGTCCAGTCAATTTCTTCTCTTGTAGCTGTTGACGGATCTTGTAGGAGTTCTGTCCATCTCTGGAACAGCCCCTGAGCAGTATTCACTGCCTTCTGAACTTCCCTGGAAGTGAAAGAGGGAGGACAGATTTCATGAGTATCCACATGGAAGGTATCATCATATAAACTGTAAGTATCGTAATACAGAATTATACATCTACACTAAAGCTCCACTTTAAAGACCGGTGTATCAATAAAAAAACTGATCCCTCAGCCTGAAAGTGAAATGTATGCATATATCCATTTGTCATGCACATAAAATAATATGTATGGGGAGTTGCAGTCATTCATCTATATAATGGTGCATTTCTAGGTTCAATTTGTATAATTTTTTCCTACTGCTATGTATGAAGGGGGAGATTAGATTGTACCAACTGGCCTATACTTCAAGCTACCTAAGAAATAGGACAAATATTTTACTCTTCTAACCATCTCTCAACCAGACAAAATATAGTGCTGAATGGATACGAATTATCCCCCCAATTTTTTTGGGGGGGGGGAATGGTCTGAACATTTTATCCTTCTTCTGTTTTTAAACTCTACAAATATAAAACCACAACCCTTTTTCTGAAGAGATATTTACTGCTGTGGCTCACATACATACAAATTGGCTCTTGGGCTGTTTGTTGTTTCTTAACAAAGCTTCTGGGCAGTTTGAACTCTTTTTCTCCTATTTTATCTCCAATACTACTGAAGTTTCTAAAGTGGCTTCAAAAGTCCTGTTTGAAAACCAGATCAGTAGTAACTAAAAGATCTGTTGCAAAAAAGGGATGGGTCAGGGGGAGGAATGCATTGATATCAGATAGACTAGACCAGTGTTTCTCAACCTTGGCCACTTGACGATGAGTGGACTTCAACTCCCAGAATTCCCCAGCCAGCATGCTGGCTAGGGAATTCTGGGAGTTGAAGTCCACCCATCATCAAGTGGCCAAGGTTGAGAAACACTGGACTAGACTATGGCAGTCCAGGAAAGAGCACACTGAATATTTTTAAATTGCAAATAACATGTTGGTGATTATGCTGGTCTATGACTATAATGAAGACTGGTTTGACATGTTGGCAATTCAATATCCTAAGGGCTGATTTTAGACAAATTTGTGTCAGAAAACTTACATGCTACTCAGTGCTTTATGCAGTTACATCAGATTCTACACTGTTAACTTTCCATAACACAGCAGCTGAAGCATCAAATCTGGGTTTAAAAGGACAAAGATTCCATTGCCTCACCTCTCCAGAAAGGGCAGAGTAAGGGAAAGCAGGGGCTTCAGAGGAAGCTTCTAGCTATGCCCATTCGTCTACAAGATGAATTTCCCATTCATCTCCTTTCTTTTCTACGCAACTGTGTTCTTCTAGTTTCCTAAGCATTTAATGATTTCTATGAATAAGTGTTCATTTGCTGAAAAATGTTCAGTTGATTCTGTCCTTAAATTTTTGAGATATTTTGCAACTGATAAAACTTTAAAAAAATATGCAGCCCTGTTCTGGAACTAATGTTGCAACTTCATTCATCTAAGTGATGGATTATCTAAAGAAGCAAAATTTTACTTGGTGAAAATTCACTGTACTCATTTTATTGTATAAGATTTTATTGAACACCTTTGTATAACATTTTACTGAAAATCTTAAATACTACTTATCATACATTTTCTGTCTCTAGAGGTGTGCTGGAAGGGACTCACGGGAGTCCTTTGTTAGAAAGCAAAATGTTTGATAAAAGTTAATGTTGTGAACATACAGGTGATGACACAATGCAGAGGGATGCCAAGAAAGGATTTGCTCACAGCAATTCAATCCTATAGAAGGAATTCTGAGTAGGAGAACACACGAGAGGGGGCTCATGCCTTGTTACTTGGCCCTGTTAAACACTCTCATTCATCTCAATTTGGTTGTAGGAAAAAGAAAGTGACAGTGAAAGGATGTCTTTTTTTCCCAGACTAGCAAAGTAAAGATTTTTCTACCCTCCTTCCCCTTTATGTCTTTGACTAGAGAGACCTTGGTAACAAATGAGAAAGAAAAAGAGCTTCTCCAAACAGTTTACAACATTACAGCCTTTAATCCCACAAGGATTCATTCAAAATTAGCAAAATATTAATAGAATGCCATTTACACAGTAAGTGACTCTTATGCACATAATGAATTCAGCATGTGAAATGAGGGAACAAAATACAGTACCTTTTAGTAACAAAATGATAGTGTATTCAGTATGGGACAATAATAGTATTTCACAATCAAATATAACTTGTGCAAAGACAGCTGAACATGCAACAAGTTAGTAACTACTATATTTTACTGCAGTGTAGAAAGTTCCAACTGGAAAAAATATTCTATTGAAAATCAATGTATAATTTCAAAAGTTGGATAGAGAAAGTTTCATTTGCTAAATTACATTTTAAGAGACATTAAAAACATGTTAACTGTCAATTTATAATATGCCACTAGGTAAATTTCAGAGAAGGTGCTTTATGGCAGCCTATACGTGAAGCACATCCTCTGCCCTCAAAAGAAAAGCTTCTTTCTTTATTCCATGAGAGGACAGACTGCAGTGCTTAGAAGACACATGATTCCCATGTTACCAAATGTTATTTTACTGTTATTTTTCTTAATATATTCCCACACTTAAGCTTTTAATTAGCTTCCCCCAATCTAATGTCTTTCAGGAGTGTTAGACTACAATTCTATTATTCTCAGCCAACACATCTATGTTGACTGAGGATGGTGAGGGTTGCTGTCCAACACATCTGGAGAGGATCAGGTCAAGAAAAGCTGCTTTATATAAGTAGAAAAAAGAAATATTAGAAAGGTTGATTAAAACTGAATGATGTGCAATCTTCCTGCCTATCCATATGTGTGCACATACTGTATTCTATTTAATGTACCTGCATACTACTAAAACTCTCATTGTGTTTATCTGTTAGCCCAAACAGTGCAGTATACCACAACAAATTTTGAATCAAGATACTTAAAATCCAGTAACTTAAAGAGTGTGTAAAAAATTCAGGACCCATTACTCTTGTGGAACTGAAATTTCCATGATGCTCACACCAGTTTTATTCACAAAGTTGTGGCCATTGCAGGGTCCCTGGGGTCATGTGATCGTGATTTCTAACACTCCCTGACAACTTCCCACAAGCAAAGTCAATGGGGAAGCTGTCAGGAAGTTGGAAGTCGCTCCTACTCCCACTGCTTTTTTACCTGTCTGTGGTCACTCTGTTTATCTGTTTAGATAAGTAAATATTGACTTACTGACATTCCTTTGCCACTACAATTATTTTTCTATGTATGATATATACTCTTCTTAGATAATCATTGTACACCATTGGGGTAAAAAAAAATTTGGTCAGCTGAAAATTAAATGTTCATTCTGGTCACATCAGACTGTACTATCTTTCTTTCAAAGGATGACCCAACAGGTCACAGGGTTGTCTAGTATCTAATGTATTCTAAACATACCTATATTTCTTTCTTACAATAACTTGTACGCATGCTTCAGCTATATGGCATTTGAGGCTTCATTAAATTCAGGGGAAAATATTTAAATGTGTATTTAAGTATATATGTTTTAAAGTTGTATATTCAAGTATATGCCATTGAAAATTGTCAGGGTATAAAAGTATCTTGCTGTGCAAATGGAAATCTCATAAACCAGACCTAAAGACAATAGCGTAGTATTATTTTGCTGGCATGAAGCCACACAGTATTTTAGGATAAGATCAAGGATCACAGTGGAATGATGGTACAAAGAGACAGGAGCAAGATTTTTTTCCTGGGGGTTAAGGAAAAGTTGGGAGAGGGTGCAGTGGTTGTTTTTAATTCTCTTAAATCAATGTGGGAATTACATTACATTTTGTATGCATTACACATCAAAATGTTAGGAAATAATTCTTTGATTTTTGGCAACCATACTAGGAGAAGGCCGAGAGGTACAAAATAGGGATTAAGAGGGCATACGAAGCCCTGGCACCACCCTACTCCTTAGTGTGGAGTACTGAAAGATACACTGTCTCTAGATGTAGCAGTATCTTTTTACTGTTACCCCTAGCAGATATTCACTAAAACTTTCATTCATACATCCAACTTCTTTAAGGAAAACAAATGCTGCATCAAACAACTATATAAACTAATTTGATATGTCGTGGATCAGCTATTACCCAGTTTAACTGAGAGAAGTCACCTATTTAGATTTTCCCCGTTTCTACTATTCCTTTTCACTGTTTAAATCTTTCATTAAGGTGGTCAACTGTACCTGTACAAACCTCCATGCTTCATAACACAGACTATAATACAGATCAAGGGAAGCAGAACCAGCCTAGCCCCACCCCGCATCCCATTAGGATTTTATCTACCAATGCTTCAGACAAGTCTGTGCCTGAGATTTTATCAAGGAGTTGCAGTTGCCAGATAGCATGGAGACTTGGCTAAGACAGACCAAGATTTGCCTCTACTGTGGAGCTGATCCTCACTTAAAAGGAAGCGACACCTCCTTACAACCGCAAGCGCCGTTTTTACAACATTTCCCCTACCCCTTTAAACAACCACACGTACACGTAACTTGGAAGACAAAAACCCAGGAAGCACAGCAGGAAGATTGCCCCATTCAAGAAAGAGCAGGGAGGGGGACAGAGAAACCCTCAGAAATAAAGACTACGGGTTCACGTCCAAAGCGGTACAAACTAAAACTTGCACCATTTCAAAGGAGAGGACCCTTTTCCGACTAAAACGCAGGGCAGAGGCAGGCTGACCATCTCACGGAGGATTAGGCCGGGAATACCACCCACACCCTGGCGAAGGCCTCCTCCTCCTCCTCCTCCTCCCCCCC